TTTTTTTGGTTTTTCTCCGGTACCGGGAACCGAACTCATGACCTTGCGCTTGCCAGGCAGGCGCTTTGCCACTGAGCTAAATCCCCAGCCCCTCTTAAAATTCTTTTTGTTATAGTTATAAACCTGGTCACTTTTCCCCTAAACTATTTAAATACAATTGATGAGTAAAAAATGAAAACATTACAAATCTTCTTTACATATATTATCCTGTTTTGATCAACTGAATGTAATGCAACTTTTCCTAAGTGCTTCAAATGTCTTCATAAGGTAAATTTTTACTTTATGCACATTTAAGCCTATTTTTAAGCAGCTTTACTATTGATTTGACCCATTTCTTTATCTCTGTAAACTGTATTTCTGTACCTTTCCAGGACTTCACTTATTGGACCCACAAGGAGGAAGATTTCCTCCTCCTCAGGAGCATTAAAATCACAGCCTGTGAGCCACTGACTGATGGCTTCTTAGCTAGAACACAGAATCCTTCACGATGACTGAAATGGCATCACGATGACTGAAGGCATCAGGTGTTTGTTGCTCGGGGTCCCTTCTTGCCAAGCTCAATGCTCTGTCAATAGGATTTGGGAGCGAGTCATATATTTTTTTATATAACTAAATGTCCTATCATGTCCATACATTGACACAAGATCATTTTTGTGCTAGCTTTGCAAAGCTGACTGACTTCAGTGGGTCAGCTGGGAAGCTGATCTCTTCTAGGAACCATCATAATACAGGATGCCATTAATTCTATAATTCTGAGTGACTTACATTTAATTCCACTACTGCTTCCTCATTAATTGAAGCCATTTAAAAAATACTACTGGCAAATGGAAAGTGGTGATTGAAAATGTCCAAATCACATAGCAAGTTGATGGATGAGCCTGTGTGGACTTTTCTCTCCACTTACAAGTCTGGGCTCCCACAGGAGACACCTTCTCTTAGTCATCTCCACCTGCCCGCACAAGGTCAGTTTCCAGTAACAACAGTGCGCAGTAACTTTGAAAGAGGAGTGGCTAGAAGGAAGGTGAGGCCACAGGAGTAGTAGAGAAAATCATAGCTACCAAATAATTAACCCAAGACCATCACTCACAGCCCATAATTTCTTCTTCTGATTTGGCTTTAAGATTCTCAAGTAATTGGCTTTTGAGACAAATTTTAAATTGCTTCATTTCCAACACTCATTTTGGTCACAACATCCAAGAGCAATCAATCCATCTGCTAATCAATAAATAACATGCTGCTGTAAGAAAGGCAACCCAGCACAAAACCAATATCGTCAGCAACCCAGAACAACTCTAATTTCCGGACAGAAATCAATGCATGGCAAAATTGTGATTATTGTAAATATTTATAATTCTAAAAGAAGCAGCTCATCAATGCAGCTTTTTGAGAGCTCGTTTCCAAACTAAAGGTTCTGGCGCACAGCTCCCCCTCCCATCTATCCTGTGATGTATGATGCGGCAGGAGTACAGCAGTAACTTCATGATTGTGCTGGAACTGGCTCTCTCAAAGGCTTGAGGTGTACCCTGGGGATGTTTTGGAAAGTGATGCAGTAAAAGAGGGAAACACTGAGGAGTTGAGTTCCACTCTTTGGCATCTTGCTGTTTGTTAATCAGATGGCCATGCAACCTCTCTGAATATTGCTTTTCTTCTCTGTCCAATTTAACCTTTCAGGTTGTGAGGATAAAACAAAGGGTAAGAGATACCGTTGAACATATATTTAATAATCTGATAAATCTAAGGTCTTGTAAGGACTCCTGTTTCCTAAGAACAGGATTAATAAGGATCTTGAGAAACTGGATAAATCCTCCTAAAGCTCATTGGCCAGGGGCATTTTAAGACTAAAATGTAAGTGACAATGGAAACAACATTACTAAGCAATAGGCATTGGGAAAACAAAGACAGACCTGTAAGGGCTCTGAGGCCCAGCAGGGAAGAGGGCTGTGCAAACAGGTAAATGCACCTGGACTTGGGGGAGGGAGCGAGGCAAGGATGACCTTGAGCTGAGGGACACAGGCCTGAGCCTCAGGGCACTTGAAAGTTTCAAATGGAGCAGCAACTGGGGGTGGGGTGGGGGTGGTTATTCCAGGAAAAGCCTTAGAACAGGCAAAGACTAACATTTCTGGGGAACCAGGAAAACAAATCAGTGTGTTTCAACCTGCAATCACTTGAAGTCAGCTTTTATATTATTATTTTTGCCATGTCTCCATGTTATGTGTACCATTTTAAATTGACTAATTTTTAAAAATGCGAATGAGTTTTTAAAAGCATGACTTTTGTTATCATACTGTCAGGCTTAGTGCTAGTTTCTGGGGCAAAGGGGTGACCAAGGCATACAGAAATAAGAGATTACGATAAATTAATGTAAGACAGGAATAGATACTACGTGGAAAAGTGATGTAAGAGGGTTACTTTAGGTAGGGAGGGGCTCTTGGAGATATTATCTGAGCCGGAGACTTTAGTGAGTTGGAGGCTAACTACCTGCAAACCGAAAACAAGGTCACTAAATTCCAGCCCCGCGTGGCTGCCCGCAAAAGCAGGGCGCGCTCACGCTCAGCTGAGACTTTCTGCAAGAGGAAAAGAGATCGAAGAAGGCTCCGTCATGTGTAACTCCAGGCTATCTAATCCTGTCTGCACCAACTACGTCCCAGTGGGGCACCCCGAGCAGAAGGCATCCCGCCCTGCGCGAAAACACCTCAACCTGTCAGTGGTGCGCACGTTGTAACCACCCCCTGACTAGTAAATCGAGACCGAGACAAGCCAACTCGCTGCTCCACGTTCGCAAAACACTGTAGTGGGACCCGAAGCGCGAAATCCCCTCCTCGCCAGCCCGGCGGACCCAAGTCCAGCGGTTCCCAGACGGGTCGGGAGCTGCAGGCCGAACCCGGAAGGCTCACAGCCCCAAGAACCCCTCTCCGAGCCTCGCAGCCCCGCTTCTCGGGCGTGGCTCAAAACGCGGAACGGCGGCGAGACCAGACGGGATGCAGAGCTAGGCCGCCGGACGCGAGCATGCGCAGTGGTGGCCTGGGCGCTGGGAGGGCCCCGGCGGCGGACGTCGCCACGCAGACGTCGGAGCCCCGTGGGGAGGAGGGCGAAGACTCCATCCGCCATGTTGGATGCCGCAGATTCGCCATAACCTCGCCGGCTCTTTTCTTAAAAAAATAAAAATAAACAGCGAAGCGTTAGGGGGCCGCCCTGCCTTCTCGGTCGGCGCGGGAGGGGGCCCGGAAGAGCCCGAGGCTTTTTTTTCCTCAGCGGTGTGGGCGTTGCCATGGAGACGCGGGCGGCAGGTGAGCGGGGCTGGGGGTTGGGGCGAGAACGGGGTGGGGGTGGGGCGCGGCGCGCGGGAAGCCGTTCTGAGCGTGGAGTCGGGCTGCAGCGCGCGGGCCGCGGGCGGCGGAGGGATCCACGGCCGGGCGGAGAGCGTACAGACAGCATTGTGATCGCTGGCCATATCCCACCGCCAAAAAAAGAAAAAATAGGAAAAAGAAAGAAAGGGAGCTTTTGGTACGGCAAACGGGAGGGGCGCTGTGCGCGCGTGCGCCGTGCTGTTTCCAGGGCAACGGGCGGCGTCCAGGCGTGCTTCAGAGACTGAGACCGAGTGCTGAGTCCCTGCGGGCGGGAGGTTCGAACCCCGATGCCTCCTGCTCTTTGGTTAGGTGCGCTTGGGCTGGCCGTGCATGGCGTCAGGTTTCTCCTAAGTAGGCAGTTTTCCTTCTTACTCCGCCTTTGTACTTGGCGAGGGCGCTTTGAAGGGTCGGGATGGTGAAGGAAGTTTTTTTGCGTTTCAAAGGGGGAATCTCATGTGGGAGGGATTAGCGCAGGTTCGGGTAACCCTGTGACAGGCTTAGCCCAGTTGTAATTTGTCTTCTGGGCGTTGTTCCTCTCGCTTTGCAGTTGCACTCGCGTGCTGCCTCGTCCAGGCAGCCTTCTTGCCTTCCAGGCTGGAAGCGCGTCCTCAGTCGATGGGCCAACGGAGTGGCGGACCTTTCCTTTAACACCTAGTGCCCGTCCCTTAGCTTGAGCTTGGGGTCCCGCACCTGTAATGAACTTTATCCTGCCAGGTCTTAATTGTGTGTGTGTGTGTGTGGGGGGGGAATCACAGTATAGAGATCAGATTCATAACACAACAGCAGAGCTGAGGCTTTAATCCTTTTACACCTCGTGTTCCATTTTTGGAACTGCACATAACAATGGAACGTAATAAACATTTTTCTCTTCAAATTCTTGTTGTTTGACTCTAGGTACCGTACATGAATTTCATGCAAAAATTTTAAAAAATTGTAATCTGTGGCATAAATTTTAAAAAAATTGTAATCTGTGGCATAAATGAGTTAAAAATAAGCTTTTCCTGACTTGGAGTAAAATCCAAACTGCCTGGCTTGTACCTCGGTCCCCTGGAACAGTGCCTGGCCCGTCATGGAGGTTCAGTGTGGCTTGTCTAAGGAAAGAATGAACGGCCAGAGTCACCTCTGCCTTTTTCAGACAGGTTTCCTCTTTGGAGCGCAGGTGACCTTTTGGGACGCAAAAATTATGTCATCAGGGCTTACCCCCCAAAGCTGCCCCTCTCCAGCTTCTTCCTCAGAGCTGGGCATCCACCTGTAGCAGTATTGATGGTCTCCACGCTGCAGGTGGAGACAGGTGCCACTGCCGAGCCCTGAGACTTCCGGGCCTTTTTGGTTCACACTGCAGGCAGAGCCCCTCCATAGGCCAGGCAGGAGTAGAGAGGAGGATGAGTCTTCCTCCTGCCCTATCCACAGTATCCCACATGCACCACTGTGCAAGTGTGGGCAGTGGAGTTGATACAGGAAAACAAAAACTCTCAAACTGAACGATATCTGACATGAGTTCGTGTTCTCTAAAATCGAAGAATGAATTGTGGGAACATCGGAGGTTAAGAACAGAATATATTTATTGAGGGAAAGAAAGCTTCCATCCAAGAGAGGGAGGGAAGGGGGCCCGAGTGGGTTGCCCAAGACTTTGTCTTTTCTAGGGACTTTTTTTTTTTTTTTTTTTTTTTTTTTCTCTGGTACCGGGAACCGAACTCACGACCTTGCGCTTGCCAGGCAGGCGCTTTTGCCGCTGAGCTAAATCCCCAGCCCTCTAGGGACTTTTATAGAGCAAAACCACGAGGTGAAGCGGGTCTAAAATAGGGGAAAAATGGGAAATCCCAAGGTAGGCATGAGGCAGGACAAAACTATGGTCAGCCAATAAGATCACAAGTATAATTGTTCAGGTAAAATTGCGTAAACTGGGGTCAAATGGGGAAGCGATTCACGTAGCAAGCGGGCATGAATACAGAACAGGGGCTTTTCCTGTAAGGGGTTGGCTCAGTCACCCTTCAAGGTGATCCTACCTATTTAGAATATCAATCCCTGATGTCTATCCCTAGAGAGGTATGTGGGTGCATATGTTTAATCTTTTGTCTTGAGGTCTGGCCTACAGCTAATATGCATCTTATCTTGTCATTCATGTTGGCTCCTGCGAGGATCTGGTCCTGTCTGACTGCCTATAATATTTCTGTCTGACTCAGCTGCCTATAACATTGTGAGTGAGGGGCCCAGACCCAGAGTGGTGGGTCAGGAGGCCTGAGTCCACAGGGCATGATTTCTGAACAGTAATGACTTCTCAGTGGGACACTGTGGCAAATGCCTGTAATCCTAGCTTTCTGGGAGGCTGAAACAGGAGGACTGCAAATTTGAGCCCAGCTTGGCCCATTTAGTGACTGTCTCAAAAAATAAAAAGGCTAGAGGTATAGGTAAGTGCCAAGGCTTTGGGTTCAATACCCAGTACTAGTGAAAAAAGACTTCTCAGTGCGGTGCCTTCCTTCTTATACTTAGAATGACCTGCTACCTGTCCTCTAATTTATCTTATCAATCTTTAAAAAGAACCCTGGATGTATACTTCAGTTTCTAGCAGCAACAAATGGGAAAAGATCATTTTGAAAATGTTTCTGTAAACACTGCCCTGTTCTGATTGGCTTAGGAGAAGCAGTGCAGTGGATGGCAAAGTGAAGTAAGACCTGTGAGGAAGCCAGTTGTGGTGGCACATGCCTATAATCTTAGCACTATGGAGGCTGAGGTAAGAGGCTCCTAGGGAGTTGAGGCTAGCCTGGGCTGCAAAGTGAGTTCAAGGCCAGCCTGAACTGCACAGTGAGACCTTGTCTCAAAAAGACAAAAAAAAAAAAAGAACTGTGAGCTGTTGGATAGTGA